GGTAGGGGCCCCAACAATAAGATAAAGGAAGAACTAATATGTTTTTAAGAGTTAAAGTTTAAAAGGCGGAAGTACAAACAACTTCCATAAGTTTAAGTAAGTGTTTTAAGCAAAGTGCTCAAGTATTAAAAGTAATAAACGTAAGGGCGTAGACTGACCCCATCTCACTCACCAGTTTGAAGAGCTAGAGGAGGAGCTAGAGGAGCAGTTAGTGAGCAGCGAGTTCGAGGGAAGCCAGCTAGAGGAGGGCAATATATGCGTCACGGAGGATGCTTAGTCAAGGTTTTCAGTAGCAACAACATTAGAGATTATTAGTTATTTACATTTATGATTATGAGCATAGTCTGGAGATCATTTTGAGATTTTAAGTATTGAGTTTGTCCATGTGTTAGGGCGTTGCTTTGAACTACAAGTGTGTGTTTTCAGTATTTTATTTATGAAAATTTTTCCTGCTTCAATTTAAGATTTGAGTATTTTATTTTTCAAGGGCATTTTAGTAAAAGTAGTACCCGGCCGGGTTAGGGTGTTACATCATCGAGGCTAGAAGAACTAACCCAATGATATACATGGTATATCATCATAAACCTCCACTTCCCATACAATATAGGCTTAGTTAGCCATTCGAAGTGGAGATGAGATCACCACAAACGAGGGTGGTAGCATCATCTCTCTGAATTATGGCAAACTTCGACCGTTTGTCAGTGTAAAAGTATGTTTAATAGCCGAGGTCTAGAAACCTATTTATACTAGTTACAAAAGGAGGGTTATGGTCTTTTCCTCTCATTAAATTGGCTAAAACCTTCATTATCAAACCTGGACTCTAATTCTCTGACTTGGAGATGAAAAAAGGGCCTTCCAGAAGCTTTTAAAACTTGGACTATTGGCAGCAGCACAATGGCCGTACCCACCACTGCTTCTTTTCTTCCTGGGTTGAATTACTTGGACCACAAGCAAAATTTATATGAAATATTGAAATTTGGCTAGAGGCGGTTGGTGTTGACATGACTCGTTTTGACCTCGATCAATGATAAGCCTACTTCACAACCCAGATGCATTGATAGAAGGATGTATCAATATGAGAGTGATAACATCTTTAGTATATTTGAAATGAGCATAAAATGAATTTCAAAATTCACACTCACGGTCTATCTTAAGCACATAATTCAAATAGTTACGAAATTCATATGAAATATACTAAAGATGCATTGATAGAAGGAGAAAATTTATTAAATATCGGAGTGATAACATCTATAGCACAAGAGAATCCTAACCACATCAACATGCAATAACATCATGCAATATTGGCATGTGCTACTTCGGCAATCGCGTGAGGAAGTTCAGCTTGTAGCTATGGGTAATAGAGCTTTTTGTAGGGATCTTACTAGTGTTAGTGATTTTCGGTCACTGTTGTGAGAAAACCAGGCTGTGTTTTCTCTATTGACAAACTCTTTTTGTCTTGTTTTTCGGATGCTTGATCGTTGATCCAGAGAGCTTCAATAAAACTTCCAACTTACCGAGAAAAAAAACATCATGCAATCCAATTTAAATCACTAACCATGCATTAGAATCCAAAAAAAAAAAATATATATATATAGGGTGAAACTTTTTGAATGCGGTTTTAGCTCGTGAATGCTTCTACCAACACTTGACATACCCTTTAAGCACTTATGCCTCAACATGCCAACACTTTTTTTTTCTGATTATCTCATCGCTATTTTTTTTTCCTTTTCTTATGTAGGGAGTTTTACTAGAGCATTATACCCTTATTAGTTGACCAAGAGCCCGAACCCACGAGTACCCTATCCGCCCAACCCGGTCAATGTGGAAAAGACATGCACTAACGGATTATGGGTCGGGTTCGGGTTTAAACTCATTTGTTGTTTAGCTGGTTGGGTTAGGGTTCAACTATATCCAACCTGCTCCAACTCGTACCCGTCCCCAACCACAAATTCCTTACCCACTTCTCATTTGGCCATTCCATCATACTAATTCCTAACCCTATGATGTGAATAAGATGGAAATTTGCCTCATGATGGGAGCACGATTAGTCAAGGTGGGGGAAGAATGACAGCATATGATAGGTAAGTGGCATTGTTGAGTACTTGTAGTGTAGATGTAGAAATTGAGTTGGATAGCTATCTAAAGGAGAAAGTCTTGACTAAGACAACTGGATTTGACATTTTATTGTGGTGGAAGGCAAATGAGTCAAAGTATTCGACTTTAGCATTGGTTGCTAGTGACATACTTGCAATTCTAGTGACTACTGTGGCTTCTGAGTCTACCTTTAGTGTTGGAGGAAGACTAGTTAACCCTAGTCGTAGCAGACTTCTCCCAAAAACTGTTGAGGTTCTGCTGTGTGCTCAAAATCGGTTGCTCAATTCATCTATTCCAAGTAGCTTGATAACCTTTCATTGTTTGATTTCATATAGGAACTTTAACACTTGTTGTGTTATGATATTGTTGGCTATCATTATTTACTCACTTCACTTGCTATTCTATTTGCAGATGACTTGGAAACAATTGATAGACTCATGACTTATGCCACCATTAAAGATGACCAAGATCCAGATTCTGCTTCATGTGTTACCGATATATTTAATATTATAAGAAAATATCTTCATTAAGCAACTAATCTTCCTTAGGTTTGTGGAGACATGTCTAATTTGTTCTTCCTAATTGTATAGAACAAAGTTGATATTACAGAGTGGAGAGCAAAGAAGTTTAGTTGACAAGGAGGAAGAAGCTTAGTTGACAAGGAAGAAGAAACTTTCAATTAATCATATTGTTTATTGATGTTTATCTTTAATGTTGAGAAATTTGCATGAATACTTTTTTGGTTTGCTTGTATGCTCTAGATTGGTGATTTTTGTTTAGATAATTTGTATGGGAAGAATGATGTTAGACTTTTATTTTGACAGAAACTTGTTATTGTACATTTTTTTACCACAAAATCCATGGGTATCCATAAACCCGCGGATACCCATTGGGTTGGGTTTGAGTTTTTCAAACCCAATAGGTTTTACTCTGGTTTTTTTGGTGGATATACCCATGGGTTTGGGTTTGAAAAAACCCAACCCGGCCCATTGCCATCCCTACTCATATACCTCAATTCATTTGGAGGGTCAATGAAATTAATGGATCTCAGAAGCTTTGTCCGTGCCCTTAAAAACACATCCTCAAGCTGGCTTATCAGTTCAACGAGTGATACTTTTACTATTACTAGAGACAAAATAGCTTTGAACATTTCCACTGAACAACCAATAGTATCTCTTTCAAAACCTGATTTTTTGCAATGACAAGATGTCCCACACGTTGAGCTTACCTCACACTTTATATTTGAGCAAAACATGGTGAATTTCTCAAGATACAACCATGTTTTGATAGGTAGGTTTTTTGCATTTTTGTAGAAGATACTGTTCACCCTATGGGAAAAAACTTTGAAAAGGTGATACTCTTTTACGTAATTAGAAATCCAAGAATTAATCAAACCACATAACATTCAAACATATAAAGTGGTGATTATATCTAATTGACTATCACATCCTTCATAGTCACTATTCTAGCCACTCTAGACCAAGTGATATACCTTAGACTCATTGATTCAAAGTAAGACGAGTAGTGAACATGCTTGTTGGCAGTGGCGAATCCAGGAATTTTTTATAGGGGTGTTCTTTTAAAAAAATGAAATTTAATTAAAATTTTATGTGAATAATTCATAAATAAAAAAAATCCGACTAGTGCAATTATACCATATTAGACAATAATTCACAAACTGATCGCATATTCGATTTCTAACCTTGTTCCTGTAACTCAAACTTGAAAGACTCTTTCAACTCAAATACAATGTAAATGAGAAGAGTTTGATGGTTTATACGCATACCAATTTATTTGAGTTGAGTAGGATTTTCAATTCATTGATTTAGTACCTACTCATATGAAAATTACATTTTGATATATAAAGTTAATAAATATTTAATACATAAATTTAACTTTTTGCATATAATATTCCCATAAATGCTGATGGAAAATTATATTTCTTTGTATCTAAATAATTTGTGCCTTTTGATATTTTAATATCTAAACTGTTTAAATTTCACAAATAAGTTTAATTTGTTTGTTTGTATGTGTAAATTCATACACAAACTATGTCCATTTAATTAAAATAACTAATACTACTAAAAATATCAACCTTCAACAAAAGTTTCATTTATACTATGAAACTTTCGATATCATTCATTTGAATAGCAACAGTTAAGTTTTTTATTATAAGTTAACAGAAAATACAGTCAAGGATGACTCGACTGCTCACATGAAATATTATAATAAAAAATAAAAAATGTATATTTTTAATTAATAAATTAAACGTGGTATTATAATAACTCACATCATCAAAATAAATTTCCCATTAAGCAAAGCAATAGTATCTATTCAACTAAAAATTGAGAGCTAATTCTTAGGAGGTGTGAAACCCTAAAGCGATCGTTTTCCCTAGATTTGTCTCGGCTCCCATGCCGGCGGTAACAGTACTGCTGGCATCAGGAGAGGCTGAAGATCCTCTTGCAGCTGATACGGTAACCGGACAATGCAAACCTCCACCTCAATCTTCGTCACCGAACCCTAAGGGCGACCGTGAAACCAAACATACCAAGAAGAGAGCTAAATCAACAGCGATAAACCTACCTTTGCAAGATACGAAAGAAGAGATGTTAGATGCATCAATGAACGGGACTGGATAGAAGTCAGCCCAAGCAAGTCCGAGGCCCTCTGTGTGGGGGGAGGGAGCTAGCGCTGCGCGCCGCCTTTTCGGAGAAGTGCTCCATGCGGATACGTGGTACGTTGTAGAACCGGATTCTGAAGACGTTGCTGAAGCCATGCGAGCTGAGGGTCGAGGCGAGGGTTCAGACGACGAAATAGACCCCACCTGCCCTCTGATTCATTTCACGACAGATTAGGAAAGGATCTACAGGCGGGAATGGCGATCTGCTCTCGTGGTTAAAGTGATGGGGAGATCCGTGTCATACACCCTTATCCACAAAAGGTTGACGATTATCTGGGCTAAGGCAGGTGCTATTCAGGTCACATCTGTGAAGAATGGTTATTTCCTGGTTCGTTTCACGAACGACATTGACTATGAGAGAGCAATTACGGGTGGAGCATGGATGGTGGGAGACAATTACCTGACGGTCCATCCCTGGTCCCCGGAATTTAATGCGTACAGCCATCAGATCTCCTCGACGCTGGTTTGGGCCATGCTCCTCGATATTCCAATTCACTACTTCCACCCGGATGCAGTCATGAAGATTGGAGCTCGCATAGGGAAACCTGTCTGTATAGATCATGCGACCAAGACGGGAGCAAGAAGAAATTATGCTAGGGTGTGTGTCCAAGTCGACCTTACCAAACCATTGTTGTCGCAATTTAGAATTAAGGGGAGCAAGTACTTTATTCAATATGAAGGTTTAGAAAAAATCTGCCTTAACTGCGGGATGTATACTGAGCATACTCGATGTGCTTGTGTTGAACCAAAACAGAGTGCTGAGCCGGAAGTCATGGAGATGCGCGAGAGCCAGGTTGCAAAAGATCCCAAAATGTTGTATGGTGAATGGATTGCTAAAAGAAAGCCAAGACCGCATAGGGGCCAGATTGGACACCAGACAGGGGAAGGAAGAGCTGCGAGGACATCCTCGGCAGCTGAGAAGAAAACTGAACCTGGATCACGCTTTAGTGTGCTTCAAAGGGAGGAAGAAACTCATAGCGGCAAGGAGCAGGATACGGTGATGGGGGTAGAGGAACTGGATAACATTACTATGCCCCGCCCGACTTCGCCTTTTTCTCACATAGGAAAGGAGGAGGCAAGGCTAGCAAGAAGAATCATAGGGGGAGTTTGCCTCGTGAACAGGAGCATGTGACCAAGCCTGCCATGCAACAATGTACCCTGGTTTCGAAGATAACGGACAAAGGTGCTGAGGGCTTTCAAACGGTGCTATCCACCATAGTCCAAGAAGCGGAGCGTGGGAAGCAACTCGAATCAACTAATAAAGCTCAGGGGGGATTCTCTACCCAAACGACAGTGAAGGATACCGTAGTCATGAAAATGGCTGCAGCTCTAACCAACCGACTAAAGAAGCCGCCAGATGAGTTGCATAGACCGGTTGGTGGCCAAGAGGGACAGGCGGTATCAAAACCTTTGGGAAAATCGAAGGTGACAAACCCAGTGAAGCTTTTGGGGAAGTCCCATGTAGGGGCCTCTCCTAAAAATGTGTAAGCCGAGCGTTTAGCTCATTCTACTATCCCCATGTCTATTACGATGTTAAAAGTCTTCACATGGAATTGTTGGGGTGCAGGAAGCAATCGTTTCCTTCGAGTGTTCAAAGAATATAGTCGTACGCATCATCCGGATATCGCTATCATAGTGGAACCGCGGATTAGTGGAGATAGAGCAGAAGAAGTTGTGAAAATGTTGGGTTTTGATAAATGGCTTATAGTGGATGCTGTGGGCTTTGCTCGAGGTATATGGATGGCTTGGGATCCCTCGTTGATAACAGTGACAGAGGTGGACAGATCAAGTCAGTTTTTACATGTTCAGGTTCAAAGCGGTCGTGATGTTTGGTTCCTTACAGCGGTGTATGCTGATCCAGCGTTGGTTCAAAGAAGAGAGTTATGGCAATCAATTCGGAATATTGCAGAAGAAATGGAGAAGCCTTGGCTTTTGGCGGGGGACTTCAATTCGATCTTGCATCACTCAGAAAAGCTGGGGGTGGCCCTTTTGATGCAAACCGCACAGGGGATTTTCAAAATTGTGTTATGGATGCTGGTCTAGTGGATTTGGGGTTCGCAGGACCACCTTATACCTAGTTCTGGAATGGAATGAAAAAAAGATTGGATCGTGGTCTCATAAATTTGCTATGGTCATCTCAGTTCCCGAACACTTCTGTTCGCCATCTCCCCAGGATTAAGAGTGATCACTGACCTATTCTTATTGATCTAGATCTGAGTTTTCAATCGGAAGGCCCGAAGCCGTTTAAATTTCTGGCTGCTTGGCTAACGCACGAAGAATTCAAAGACATGGCGGATCGCGGATGGAGGAGGGGATTCAATTTGCTAAGCTCTATTAGGGAGTTCATTAGGGAAGCCACTGCCTGGAATAAGAACACCTTTGGAAACATTATTAAAAGGAAGAATGGCTTCCTTGCGAGAATAGAAAGGTTGGAACTACGGCATAATGGTGGCTCCCAAGAAAGTATGTTACAGCAAGCTCGTGAAGAGCTGGAAGAAGTCCTCCTACACGAAGAGCTATTATGGTGCCAAAAATTGAGACTTGACTGGATTATTTCAGGGGACGGAAATACTAAGTATTCCCATGCACGAACAATGAATCGACGGCTGCGAAATCGGGTGATTGTGTTGAAAAATAGTGAGGGAGAGTGGATCAACGAGCCGGCAACCCTCCTGGAAATGGCCCGCCGTTTTTTCTCTGCCTTGTATACGGATGATAGAGGTCAAATCAAGGAAATTCCTGCAGGGTTCAGGGACATCCCGACGGATAAGTGGCTGGCGGTTGATGCTCAATTCGCGACGGAGGAGTTACTTTTCGCAGTGAAGTCAATGGGTTGACACAACCCGAACTTTTTAGAAAACCAAACCATAACTCAAACCAAAACCCGATTACTCCGGAGCAACGCCAACCACATTTTAAAATAAACAAACCGACATCATTTAAGAATTTTTAACGAAAAGCCCCAACACTTGGGCAAAATTCTCAATCTCAAACACTTAAAACGACTTAATACAGAATCTCCAGTTTATACTAATAACCATGAAACAAAATAAATAACTAATCTAACTTGACTCCTCACGAGCTTTCCGATATCCCGTCGACGCCGGTGCTGCTGCTCGCCTCGCCCTGCTTCTTCTCGTGATCCACTTATAATAGACTATCCGCAACCTGGTGAGTGAGAAGGGGTCAGTCTCGTCGTTACTTCCTAAGGTCTTTGCCCTAGGAAAACTTCCTACTAAACACATTATTAGGGGAATGCCTCCTAGCATGAAAGCCGTTCTCGCTTTCTGCTTTTAAATAACCATTCTTATAAACTCATTTCAACATTAACTCATAAAAGTTCTCGACTTCTATCCTTATCTCAACACAAATCCACTAGGACCACCGTGTTACGTCTCGCCGTCTGGTATCCTACCCTAGTATGCCAACCACATTACGTCTCGCCGTCCGGTTGCATACCCAAACTCGGCAATGACACTGCGTTACGTCTCGCCGTCCAGTAGTGACCCCAACATACTCGATCAACTGCTGCGTTACGTCTCGCCGTCCAGCAGTGAACCGACCATCTACCGCGTCCAGTAGTGGCCCAACCGCCCGGGGGTTCCTCATACCATCAATCCATACAACATCACACACATTCATACATAGCACAACGCGTGTCTCCACCCTTACAGGCGGTGGGATGCCTCACACACATATCGCGCATACTAGAACAATTAACTAAATAATAACTTGAACGAAAAGCGGAAACTAAAAGACCTACGACAAAGATTTTACCCCCTTTACACTCACCTCTTTAGTCGCATCAATGTCTGCATTCTCACGCTCAAGCCCCGCGCGTTTTCCTCTTTTGGCTCCTCCTCTATCAGTTCATCATCTTTCTCTTCAACGACCCTAACCATTGGAGCTCCGCCGCCATTCTCTTCAAGGTCCCTCCTCGGGCCACAATTCAGCAGCCAACTTCGAACTCCCGACACCCCGTGTCTTCTATGAGGATAGGGTCGGGGCCTCTCCATCGCTTTACCCCCGCCAGTTGCGATCAGCGATGTCGCGTTCTCGGCCTTCCTTCTGCCTCTAATAGACGCGGCTCTTCCCCTCCTACTAATCGGTGTGAACCTCCTCATCACGCGAGACTACGAAGTTCGATCGGCTGTTAACTTTCTCGCCTTCTTTCCCTCCTTAGCCGGATTATCCTAGGACACCTATTAATAAGAAGTTCATACTCTAAGACAACCTTTCTCAATTTAAAAGCCTCCTTTTTATCTACTCAGACGCCCTCTACTCAAAGTCTCATCCTCAAACCTCACTCCAAAGGTCCTTTAACCCCCCATTAAAATTTCTAGAATTAATCCCTTCAAAATCGACTATTTTTCTTAATTATTTTTATCTTGGACGAATTTTTCACCTGACTAGAACCTTCTTATACTTTTGGACAATAATTTTCCCGTGTCAACCATGAGCACCTATACCCTGGAAAATTATCAAACCCTTAAAAATGCCTCGGAAACATTTTTATTTAATTAAAACGAATATTCGAAAAAAATTTAAAAATAGAAATACATCTTCAAAAATCCCCAAATTAAATTACAACCATCTCCTAGACGTCGCTCAATTTATCAAATTGTTAAATTCAGAACAAAACCTTCATAGGCTAAAAACAATTTAAAACATCCAAAAATACATTTCTGGAAATTCCCACCAGCTTTAGTGACTAATCAAAATCTGTCACTAAAAGCCTGTAAAGCATGTTGCTAAAACCTCAGAATTGCACCCTCACGAAAAATCCCCAAATGAATCGACCTAACTCAAAGCGATCGAGTTCCCTTACCTCTAGAACGTGCCTAGGCCTAGGTTGGATAACCCGGGACGTTGATCTCCTCTTTGATCGAACCCTCAAACGCCACCACTAATAAAATACGAGCTTCGGATTAAACTATCGATAAATCGAGTTTAGAAATCGCGAAGGGGTTCATGATCCTTACCTAGAAACACGAAAAGGGTGGGATCGGGATTGGGATCGGGGTCGGGATAGGGGTCGGGGCACAGGTGTAGGAACAAGTTACCAAATCAGAGTTGCTCTTAAGAAGGAAAGAAGACAGCCAGAGACAGCTCAGAACTACCTTTTCAATATCGCGTTTGATTTCAAGCACAACGGTCAAGAATGGGATGATGGCTATATATGGACAAGTTCTTCATCTTAGCTCGGTACTTTTTGTAAGGGTGGAAAAGGGCTGCTGACAATCTGGGTTAATCAACAGAGGAATAGGTTCTGCTTGATTAATGGTGTAACGAGTCAGGGATAGGGATCCGGGATGAATACTCTTTCTGTATTGCTTTGAGTCGTTGTTTGTGTCAAGCTGCTTGATAGGAAAAATCAGTGAAGTACTGAGTCTAGGACGAGGAGTGACTAGTAGATTGGGAACCTCGTTAAACTTGACTGTGTTCTTTCATTTCGTTGCTAGTTCTTTCTTTCTTCCCCTTCTGGTTCCTCCTCTGCTCTGTTTTGTTCGCCTGCTTCTTATACTCTGCTTCTCAAGGAAGAAGACGAGTATAACAATGAAATGAGCGGGCTGAATGAGACTGGGCTCAAGGAATCAGTGGGTTTCACTTATTTAATTTAGTGGGCCGCTGTCAAAACTTGCTAGGCCCGGTACTTGATCTCGGTCTAAGCTTCTTAGAGATAGATCGTTATCCTGTCTTCTCATTTCCAGTGTTGTTCATCTTCTTCCTGTCATTCAATCCCTAGAATTTCGCCCTTTGCTCTTGTTTTCAATTGGTATCAGAGCAGGTCCTTGACGAAGGTAGTCCCTGCCAAGGCAAAGATCAAATGGCCTCTTATTCTTTCGGCCAAGCGGCATTAAATCATCCTCCAATTTTCACCGGTTCAAATTATACCGCGTGGAAGAAGAGGATGAAACAATTCATGTGGGGTATTGATGAAGACTTGTGGTTGATTGTACAGGATGGGCCGATCGACGCTAAAGTGGAAGAGCAACATCTATGGTCTGCTGCACAGAAGAAAAGTGCACAGCTGAATCATCGAGCGATGCACGTGCTTCAATCAGCCATGAATCCAGATGAAGCAGATCAAGTTGAGAACCGTGAGACAGCGAGGGAAATTTGGATGGCGCT